GCTTTTTCTCATAGTCCTTTACTTGGAGGTGTGGCGGGTGCTTATATAAAGAACTTGGAGTAACAAGAAAGGACAATATAGATGTATTTATTGTAAATCAACCTCGAGGTACGTAGAATTCAAGCAAGGTAAGTTTGAAGGAGCTTAGATATTATTTGGCTCGTCCCCTTCATTGCACAGAGAGAGAAACTGAGACTCAGAAAGGTGGCAGAGATGGAGCCAAGATCACACAGCAAGACAAGCTCAGACTCTGGGCTATTTTCTCCACCCTGTTAGTCACCAAGTCTTTCGTTATGAAGACCTCCCTTCCTCTTCATTTTCTCCCCCACACGTTAGACCGTTGCTAAGTGTATTATTATTAGTCTGACACAGTAAGCAGTTTGTCGGTGCTTTTGATCAACATGGGATAACCAGTGTTACCAAATGGAGTTGATGTAATCTAGTCAACAGGAAAGAAGCATGACGTGTTGTTGGCATTCTCACCCTCTTCTGTTAAGCTTTGTGAAAGATAGAGAACAGTCACAGATCACCCATTGCTACCTTCTGGGGCCCAAAGTTGGCATCAGTAGATTGCACCATGTCTCCTCAGCCCCCATGCATGGGAGCAAGAAGGCAGCGAGAAGTGATGTGAAGAAGCGTAGGAAGCTGTAAATGGAAGAAAGCCCCAAAATGCCAGTGACTCCCATGCCCAGCTCCTCGAGGGGTGGAAGCTTGGTATTTCTTGAACAGAATCTCAGAGAAAGAACATGGCAGCCAGTCCCACTGGCCGACAGTGGAGACGGCGTGGGCTTCGCTGTGGTTGTGCCGTGTGGTTGGGCAGCAGTTGTGGGCAGGAGGAAAGCACATCCTCCTCTCTCGCTGAGGTCTGGCTGAAAAATGCCAGAGGATCAGGTAGGAGCAGAGAAAGTTGGTTTTGGAGCAAAAAAGAAAAAGAAAAGAAAAAATGAATAAGGCTTTCTGTTGTTCTCTTTCTTCCCCTTGTGGGCAGGAGGAAAGCACATCCTCCTCTCTCGCTGAGGTCTGGCTGAAAAATGCCAGAGCATCAGGTAGGAGCAGAGAAAGTTGGTTTTGGAGCAAAAAAGAAAAAGAAAAGAAAAAATGAATAAGGCTTTCTGTTGTTCTCTTTCTTCCCGTACAAGTTTTAGCTCTCTTTTTAGAGGAGTCCTTTAAGAAAATGGAACATTCTATATAAAATGAGAGAACCTGAAAAGTTTTGTCTGTCGGTCTCTCACTCTTAGAAAACCTGTTTCCGAGGAGAGACAAATGAGACTGAAAACACCTTCCCCAAATCCCCACTCTCCTGCCTGTAACCTCACGTTCCATATCACAGCCAAGAGTGCCTCTGCTTCCCGCTGCCCCAGCCACCTTCAGAAGGTCAGGAAAACTGGACTTGCCCTCTGCAGCTAGGGACGTGAGACTTAGAACTTAGACGGATCTCTTTTCATTAAGCACTGCCCTGGCTTAACAAGCAGTTTTATAAATCTGAAGCTGTCTCTGGGTGTCGCAGGATTTATGGACGGGGGTTTCTGCCATAAAGTGGTTTATGACGGCTGCCTTCTGTGTTATTAGTAGCTGTCTCTTCCTTCAACCATTGCTGTTTGATAATAGCTTTAAAACACCCAGAATTACTTACCTGCAAGCCCCATTCCCAATAGCCCCTGTTGACAGTCTGAATAAGTTTACTGCCCTTTTGTTGTACTTTACCTTCAAAACAAACTGATTGAACCATCAATAGCTCGTGGAAGCTGACAGAGGGATGTCATCTGGACTAGCCCTTGTGATTGCAGGTTATCTGGGGGAGTTAACCTTCCCGCATTGTTAACTGAAATGTTTTATGTACTATGCAACTTTAGGATATGGCTGTGATAACCCCAGTAACTAAGTAATACATCACGGTAAAGAGATTTTGGTGCAACAAATAACCCTGGATTAAATTTACAAGGGTTGAATTGATATTGTAAAAGCCTTCATTCTGTGGCTTCGGGAATCCTCTCTTGTATTTTTATGGCAAACTTGTATTACACTCAGGATTGAAGCTGTGGCTTTTGACACCCTGACACGACCAAGAACAAAAGGAAATAGATCTCCCAAGACCAGGATGGGACAGGCAGGCAGGAAGCCCACTGACTTATCACTTAGCAATAATGTTTGGAGTCAGTTGCAAGCCACCAAGGGGCAAGACGATCTGGTAGATGTGGCTGCTTTCTGGGCTCTGTGTACCACAGACGTTGGGGCAGGGCAGATCATTAGCAGAACTGGGAAGGAGACTCGTCACCACCCTCATAATTCCCAAACTGTTAGTCCTCATCATGTTATTTTTACTAGGACATTGGTTTGTAGCAGCAGCATCACCTGGGAAGTTATTAGAAACATAAATTCCAGGCCCCACTCCAGACCTAGTGAATCAGAAACTCTGGGGACAGGCCCAGACATCTGTGCTTTAACAGGAACCCAGGGCATGCTAATGCCCACTCAAGCTTGAGGACCACTGTGCTAGATTATAAACTCACCGAGGGCAGAGGCCTCGCCTCTTGTTCATCCCAATTCTCAGCCCAGCACAGCTGCTGGCAGGGGTAGCTGCTCAGCAACCACTTCTTGAATGAGTGAATGTGTGAGTCAGGAAATGAAAGAAGAGGCCTCTAATGGAGGAACTTTGGGCCCTGGGCCGAGTCTCAGACTGAACTCTTTGGGGCAAGTCTTTCTAGTGTTCTTCAAACCTCTCCAAGCAGCGACCTCCTGGGAACCAGACTGGCCCTCAGGGTGGGAAGCACGTCACCCGTAGTTTCAGGGGTGACTGGCAGCCTATGTCATGTCTCTCGATTGTATAAGAAGAGTGCTCTAAAAACAGCAGCTCTTTGTCATCTGAAATTTTTAACTAGCTCAAAAGCCAGCACCTCTCTCTCTTTCTCCTTTGATTTCAGGGCTGTGATCCAAAGTGAGGCAAAATGACAATGTGCGGTCTGTTGTCATCATGGTTTCTGCCAGCCCTGTGAAGGCATCTTTCACTCCATCATTAAACACTGGCTGATTTTCTAATACTGATGTTTTCTTCACCTGAATATTCATCTTTTCCCACCCTACACTTAGTGGGTGTCTTTACTCCTTTGAGCGTCACTCCTGACATATTGTTTCTGTCTGTACATGTCTTTATTTGAAAGAATCTGTTGTCATCAAGACTTTGCTGCTATAGGAAGAAGATGGAAGTTTTCTCTGCCATTGACTGAGGCCGGTGGGAGTTCCACTGGAGGATGGAAAGGGCCCTTTGTGGCACTTTCTTGATTTTGGATAAGGTTAGGGGGTGTTGGAGAGGGAAGGGAGAGGCTCAGAGAGAAATACGAAAGATAGTAATAGATTGAGGCCCGGAAGGAACTGGGAAGTAGATAGTCAAACTTCCAAGACCTCAGGATTGGGGCAGGCATTTCTGGGGGAGGAAAAGTATATCTCAAAAGAACTTCAGAGTGTTTGACTTTAACCGTCAGTGAAATGAAGGTCATTACTGGAGGCTGTACACTGCTGTCTCTGGCTTTTGAGTGATCAGCCAAGTTTTTTACTGGGACAAGCATGTAAGGGCCGCTTGGTGATGTCAGACCATCCTCTGAATGTGGGAGCTGGCCCTGGGAGCACTGCATGCCACAAGTACCAGCTGCACTGAGAAAAAGCTAAGTGCTTGGGCTTCTTTAGGGTTTGGTTCTTTGAAGCCTACTTGAGTTTTCCTGCTTTTCCTTTTCCCTTTAGTTTTCAGTCATTCGTGAGGCCCCTTTTTCTGTGCTCCCAACTACTCTGTGCATAACCTCAATCTTAGCACTTTGCTGCTCTGATTTCTAATTTCCCTGTGTGAATGCATCTTCCCCATTAAACTGAGAACAGCTTTGGGAGCCAGAACCATGTTGTAATCAGCTCTGTATCCCTAGGGCTTGGCACATAGTAGGTGCTCAAGAAATATTAGTGCAACTGAAAGGAACTGGTATGTTATTGACATGGTGACATTGGGTCACTTCTTTCTAAGCAGAAGAAGATCTAAACAGTTTCTTGCTTGACTGATGGAATATGGGGGCCTGATGGAAAGCATTTGGGTTGGTGACTGTCACCAAGGAGGGAGAAATATAGGTACATGTCTGTACCTTGTAAGTATGTATTTATGTGTTTATATACCTATACCCTGGCCAACTAGATCATCTCATCAACTCTGTATACACCTACCTGAGGACAGTCCATCACACAAGTAGTCACTGGCTTATGTCTGGAGCCCACATGGATGTCAGAGAGTATTTGCAGGGGAATGGAGAGCATGTAGCCTTTGGTGGGCTATTAGTATCCCTTAGAAACCAACTCCCTTGTTTCTCCTTGACAAAGATAATCTTCATAGTGCCAGTGTGGAAATAACCCGGTGATGATGAGAAGAAAGTCCTCAAGACCTCTGCTTAACTCCTCAAGGAAGCACTTCTCAGCTGCGTGATCCTTTCTTCCATCCCAGCATCATCCAGGTTATTACAGTCTAGTTTATTGTCCCGGATGGCAAGTCAAAGTCTCCTGTCTCAGCTTTAAATTGATAGTCTGCAGTTGTCTCAGAGATGACAGTGTTACAGATGACCTGTCGGCGTGACAATGATAAAGGATACAATCAAGCTGTAGGTTAGTTTTACCAAAAACTGCCTGTGTAGCAAAGAAGCTGGGCCCATTTCCCAGAATGGAAGGAAGGGATACATTGACAGGGTCCTACTGGCTAACCCAGGGGGCAGGTGTGTGTTATCTCTGAGTCCAGTATGGCCATTAGTGTATGCTTCTGAAGTCTAGTTGTGTGTCTTTGTAACATGTAACCATTTGGACTTCCCCAAAGGGAAATTGTTCATTTTTAGTGAAAGAAGACAGGAGAAGCACTCACTAAGATCTAAACTCCCGAAGACTTAATAGTGTGGATTCTGGAGGATCAAACAGATTGTCTGGGTCTTTGAGGCTGTCACCCCAACCTTCCTGAGTTGTCTGTAACCCTCCTCTTCCAGATGCTTTGTTCTGCACAAGCTGCCCAACTTGAAGTTTCTGGATGCCCAGAAAGTAACCAGACAAGAACGAGAGGAGGCTTCGCTGAGAGGGGCCTTCATGAAGGTGGTGAAGCCCGAGGTGAGCTGCCTACTGCTTGGTCCTCACAAAGGATTTACAGCTCATGGCATTGGTTATGCCTCAGAGCACAGAGGATGCCCCCCTTGTGTGTGTGAATGCAGGCGGGATCTCATACTGGGGGGTTATTCACATGTACATCGTTGGTCAAACATGATATAGGACTGGGTATAACTTGGATCTTCTAAGGGGACCTTATATGTGAGGTGGTCTTGCCCAGATGGCTGTTTTACCAACAAAGCAGCAGTGGTGATGTTCTGGGGGGAATTTGAGGCCTCCTTCTGGAAGATGTTTCTAAAGTGGGGCCTTTGCAGGTCTGAAGCTGAAAATGGAGAAAGAGGAAAGGACTGGGCCTTTACAGTTTCTGGGGTTGGTAGGATCCTCTAGTACTTCAGAGGGGTCCCTTCTTTCTTGCTACTAAAGGAGAGCTGGGGGAAAGTGATTTTTCCCATCACAGGCAAAGGCTCAACAGCTCTCCGAGATATTGTTAGCATGGAAGGCAGTATTTTCTGACAGCGTGTCCATGGACTGGTGTGTGCTCCCCACATGTAGCTCTCCAGAGCTCATTGCAATGGTGTTTACTGAGCTTTCCTCTACCAGCTGGGTCTGCATGGAGGCTGTGTAAGTGAATGTGGGCAGCGTGTCCATGGACTGGTGTGTGCTCCCCACATGTAGCTCTCCAGAGCTCATTGCAATGGCGTTTACTGAGCTTTCCTCTACCAGCTGGGTCTGCATGGAGGCTGTGTAAGTGAATGTGGTGTCATCCTAATGGCAGTTCTGATGAGGCAGGGGAGATTTGGATTGGGGTCTTGGATTCAGACGCAAGGAGATTTTTAAGGACATGAACAGTTATCTCTTTGGGAGGAGTTGGGGTTGTTCAGTGAAGCCAGAGGCTGGGGAATGGACCTGATGACCCCCGATGACCTCTTTGGAGAACTTTCACCACCCTGGGGCTCTGTCACCTCCCAGTAGATTGCAGCTTGTGTGTAGAAAAATGCTGGCACAGAAATCCTAGAGGTCTACTTTGTTTTCAGTTAGTGACTTATAACAGTCTGCATGTACATTGGAAGTGATTAAGGGGGAACAAGAACAAACAAAAACAAAACAGAACAATGAAACCTCTTTATCAAGTTGCTCAGCTGACAGCAGACCTCAGGCCCCTTTCTTTCCTGAGTCCATGAGGTGCAACTTATTTCCCCGTTATGCTGAATAAAATTGCTAACAGTTGTGGAAATATACAACATGGAGGGTATAATACTGGCAGGTAAGTGTATTGTTACCTGTTTCAGCATGTGGGAAATTGAGTGATTCATTTCGTAGCTATTAAAGTGTTAACAGTTCTCCTTACCGAGGCACAGGTGTGCACGAGGTATTGCACTGACCGCCTTTAGTTATTCCAGCTTTTGTAATTTTGTCCAAATGAAATAATTTATTTCTTGGCTTCCTTCCCCACCCCCCCCTTTTTTTGGTGAAAACGTTCCAGAGACAGCTGGCATCACCAAACTCAGCAAAAGCACAAGTGAACCCTTGGCGATATCTTGCCTTATTATAAAAAACCTGCCTTTCTGCATTTCTCACCTTCATGCGTATAGAGGGGATCAGTATTTCTCCTGCTCTCCTTGTCTTTGACATGGGAAGCTCTGCATTGCCATCGGAAGGGGTAATAAATGTAACATCTGTGTTTGGATGGGGTTCTCAATACATGCCCGCCATTCTTCTTTCGTTTTTACTTTTTAGTTGACATGTGATAACTGCACACATGTATGGCGTACAGGGTGATATTTTGATACATGTATACAATGTGTGATGATCTAAGGTCTTTGTATACGGATTCGGGAATCCTCACATAACCCTGTAAGGTAGATGGAAGAGATCATTGTCTTACTTTAAAGATGAGGTAACTCAGGCCCAGAGAAGTTACCTGGGCTGCCCAAGGTCACCTGGCTTGTAATTGCTGGAGCTGGAGTTTTACCTGTGTCTGAACACCACGCCCACATTATCCTCACTGTGGGTTCTCGCCCCTGGAGCAGTGAGCTAAATATTTTCCCCACGGATGTCTTTGTTCAAACAAAACCTCATAGGAAGGCCTAAGTAAAGAACACAGGTAAAAGCAGGACTGTTCTGTTGAATAGAGATGGGGGAAATTGAAATTTTTGCCTTTGAAAGTGACTGGGAATGACTCTTTAAAATCCAGTATTACTGTTTCTCTGAGTCATTAGCAACATCAGCAGAAATGCTCTTCAGGGTCCCCAATTAGTTTCTAATCAATTATAGAATTAGCTCATTTGTGTGATTGACTCCAACATCCTTACTTACTGTATTATGCTTAAAAATGCCCATTAATTATTTGAGGAGAGAGACAAAAATAGTCTAATAAAGCATGAGGGCCTTTGATTCTTTTTGTGGAGTCACATGATTTCCAAACTGGAGGGGACTTTAGAAATTACCTGGTCTGTGCTCTCATTTTACGGAGAGGGATCTGGGAGAGGATGCAGTGTCCCAAGGCCCCACAGTCCTGTTGAAGCAGAAATGGGACCAGAACCTAGTGGTCTGGGCCTCTGGTTAAGTGCTCTGTTTTCCCCGTGGTCCTTCAAGTGCACAGGAGGATTCCTCTGTGTTCTCGGTTTCACATCAGGCTGTAGGCCTCTCTCCTGAATGGCAGGCAATTCCCTTTTGTCTGTTGTCTTCAGAGATATGCACTGGTACTTTCCTTGCCGATAGAGGCCAAATGAGCTTCTTGCTGAATTAATAAATTGGCATTAAAAAGGCTGGTTCTCGCCTGTTCACAGTGCACACAGACATATGTTTGTTCCTGTGCAGGTGTGTATATACACTTTCCATCTCATATATACATATGTATGTCCTGGGAGGTATGTGTACACCCGGAGTCGGCTTCTAAGTGGAGAGCAATTTCCTTCCTGAGTCCTGCAACGCTGTGCTGAACACACTTGGTGAAGACCTATTTTTCATAACGGAACAGGAATCTCAAGTTGGCTTCTGTCCTTTCCGAGGCAGCAGCCGCCTGTTGTGCTTATTCAGCAGAATGCTCTGATGGATGATCAAGGGGGCTGTGATTCGGGGAGCTGTGTTCATTTTATTCCTGACATAAAGTATTTGGGAGAATGGAAAATGCCTCTCCAATCACAGCCCTTGCCTTGGAGGTAGGGAACGGGCAGTCTGGGTGTTCTCAGCTGACACAAATGCAGAATCATCCAGGAACTAATAAAGCCCCTATGTCACCGAGGCTTCATTTGGTACCTGGCAGGCCCCGGTGCTTGAGTGCGAGTTCTCTCTTGCTTTCTTTCATGATGACACATTTCTCCTTGGCTGCTGCCTTTTGGTTTTTGTTGTTTCAAAGCTGCCTCTGTCTGGGCTCTGATTGTTCCATAGAAAGATGCTGTCGTTCGTTAGGAGGTGGTAACTATGTTACAATGGACTCTTCTAGAACGTCTCTGTGTGTGTGTGTGTGTGTGTGTGTGTGTGCGTCTCTGTGTGTGTGTGTGTGTGTGTGTGTGTGTGTGTGTGTGTGTATTACTTAATGCACCTGCAACAGCCAGGCTTTTCTCACCTCCCAGAATTTTAAAGAAAATCTATATCTTTGTTAAATATTGGCCATTGAATCCTGCTGTCGTCAACACAGAGAACACCACTCTGGATACAGAGAAGGTTGAGGCCCCAGTGAAAGGTTTCTGCAATGACCAGACCGTGACCCACTGGCCACACTGGGAAACATAGATCAAAGGGGTGCAGAGGCCCATCCAGGAGGGCGTGTGTGGTGGGACCGCCAGCCCTGCACATCAGAGAGACAGCTCAAAAATCCGACAGTCAGAATTGCTTAATTATGTCCTGGCTTTGTAATTATTCATCCCTGTTCTGGCAAAGAGCACAGTTGTCATTTCTTTGACATAATTATTTAAAGCTGAGCCCTCCTGTTTACAGGCATGTATACAAAGTTGGCTACCAACTGTTTAATCTTCAGAACCTTATAGAAACCACGGGGAGAGCCGCCACAGGGGGCCACTGGCCTGGGAATCACAGCCTATATTAGAAAATGTTTTGACCTGTGTATTTTTTGCTTGTATTTGTGGCCAATCTCTTATAGGTAAAGTGTGGTGATACATGTGCTGGTGAGTGTTTGTGTGTCCTTGACAATATATCGTGCTTTTCTTTGTGTTGATGTGCCTAGGTATCCCATCATATGTGGTTTGTGTATTTGTGTAGTTTTGTATAGCTTTATGTTTGTGTGTGGTATTTGGGTATTTGGGAGGGTGGGTTCTGGTGTGTGTGTGTATGAGAGAGACAGAGAAAGGAAGGGAGGGAGGGAGACAGAGAGATGTGTTGTGTTAAAGGAATAAACATAGCACATGCATCTTCTGGAAATCATTTTTGTTCTCACCCCCCCTTTTTTTTTCCTTTTTGTCTTTTTTCATGACCAGCAACGGGATTGCAACCCTCCGTGTCGCGCCCGCACCACGCTCAACCAGTGAGCAGACCGGTCTCTATATGGGATCCGAACCCTCGGTGGGAGCGCCACCGCACTCCCAAGCGGTGCACTCTACTGAGTGCGCCACCGGGCCGGCCCTGTTCTCACCCTTTAACTGAAAGTTGAAAGTTATTTGAGTCTCAGGATCATCTGCACCAGTGAGCAGACCGGTCTCTATATGGGATCCGAACCCTCGGTGGGAGCGCCGCCGCACTCCCAAGCGGTGCACTCTACTGAGTGCGCCACCGGGCTGGCCCTGTTCTCACCCTTTAACTGAAAGTTGAAAGTCTCAGGATCATCTGAACCATGACTACACGACACAGTCCTGCTCTTGACACTTGGGGTCAGGTCCTAACTCCCCTAGGTATCTTCACTTTCTTCCATACATGTCTATGTTTTGGGGTGTCTATGAAAAAGGCAACACAGGACAATGACAGAAAATGGAATCCCGGGAAAGCCAGCTTACTGTCAGGACAAGGAAGCCACTCATCCGTGGGGATGCCAGCTCCCTGAGGGCGGGGACTTTGCCTGTTGTGTTTGCTTCTGTGTCTCCAGCGCCTGGTATAAAGCAGAGGCTCAGTCAATACTCACCGTGAGAATGAACCGTGAACAACAGAGCATTTTGTAAGATTCATCACAAACGGTTGTACATTTTTTAATTGCCTCAGCATGGTCATCTGGAAAAATAGGAGACCATTGCCTTCAGCAAGTGTGATCATTTGAACCTGTGCACTGGCAGAAAAGACAGATTTGGTGTCGCATATTTGTTTTTCCAAAGGATTTACCCTGGGATTATTCACGATGGGAAAACCTGCGGCCACCACCACCCCGCACCCTGGCTTTTCCTTGGGTAGCATTTCTGGGGGAGGCTGTGTGCTCCCCATCACTCAGGGTGTCCCCTGAGCCCTCCTCTCAGGACCCACCTGCTCATAATTTAGGGCTATTAGGAAATAAGAGGGAGCTTCTCTAAGAAAATGTGATGGGGCACACACAAGTCTATGTAGGGTCAAATGAGAGTTTCCCTATCTTAGCTGCTATTGTGTTTCTTGTCTGTACCATAAAGGGCACTATCCAGTTACTTCTTTGGTTCACTTAATTGCTTTTTATTCCTAGCTTAGCTCTTTACTAAATGACAGTGCGTATGTCATCAGTATCTTCTGTTATCCGTATCTAGCCCAATTGCAAACACACAAAAGGTTATCAGAAACTACTTCTAGATTTTTTACAATTACTAACATTCACTCTGCACTCAATATTTTCAAGAATATACATTTTACATAAAGCCAGGGCACGCCCATAAATAAACATTGTAAACTACAAGTGCATGCAATTAGATAGGAAATTAGCCAATATATGTTGAAAGTTCTTTACAGTGCCAAACATTCAGGAAAAAAACTAAAAATGTTGGCTGATTTTCTGGATATTTCTAACTACCTGAATATGTTAGTGTTTCATCGTTCTTTTCTGTTTGTACACAGGTGTTTCTTGTCTAGAGACATATTCAGGTTCTATTTTCAGTTAGTTTATAGTAAATCTTGAAGGGAGGAAATTTTTAATTAATTTCCTTTTTGGAAAATGCTTAGCTGGTGTGTTTAGAAACAACTCTGGAAGCCAAACATTTGTAGTTTGTTTGTTTTTCATCCTTACTCCTGACTTCACAGTTTATGTTCATTTGAGGAGGAATCACGTAAGGATTTTGTAATTCTCTATTTTTTAGCACCATGGCATCCCGTGTCTTGAGTAAGTGCTTTCAGAGTATTGCTCTTTGGAGGTGATTTATGTAGCCTTGCATTTGGGTAGCAACCCTCTGAAATCAGTGATAGACTATTGCAGAAAAACTCTGTCTCCAGTGTCCTGGTGAAGCCCTATGTATGGAGAACTGGAATCCACAATAGAGAGGAAATAGTGAAACAGAATGTAGTGCTGGTGGCATCCTCCCAGAGCCAATCCCAGAAGCCCCTAGGGCCTGGCCAGGTGCTGATCTCATAGGAAAGACCACTCTCCTCCAATGCTGGGAGATCTGGTTGTGTCTTCGATGGAGCTGCTAGCTCTCAGAGCACCCAAACATCCCAGCTCCACAGCTCCAAACTCTCTTCCTCTTTTTGGCCTTTGAAATACATACTTTTGTCCAAATATATTTGGGCAAACACATGTCAAGAGGATCATAAAAGTAAGTGGCACTTTTTAAACATGGGGAATGAGATAAATATCCCTAGGATACTTTGTACAGCCTCTGGAACCCACCAATTGGGAGAAGTGTGGTAGATTGCATTATTTGGATAAAATTGTTCCTTTCTGCCCTTGCCCCCTAAGGAAGGTATCTGGCTAGGCTAAGGCCTGGAATCCTCACAGCGCCAATTGTCTAACTCTCTTAATCCTGTTCGTGACGCCAATTGTAAAGCTAGGTGACCACGCCAGTTGTCGGGCTCTTTTACCTGCTGGTAATCCTGCACCGACTGAGCTGATTGTTGAGCTAGGCATGGGTCTGGAGCTTCCAGACCCCTCAAGCCCATTCACAGACTGGGTCACAAACCCTTCATACGCCAGGCTGGGTCACCAGACCCCTTCATTCAGGTCTATGAGCTAGGTAACTGGCCAAAAGGTCCCTGGAGCCATAGGTTGGAAAGCATGGCTGTGCCGGACGGATGCTCGAGGCCAACACCTACCTGCCTGCTTCACTAAAATTCCTCTCTATCTCTATTTTCTCTCTGAAGAAGAACTCAAGAATCACAACAAAACTAAAAAGATACATTGGTACACAGGCACACTAACTACACACACACACACACACACACACACACAATTTGCTTGCAAAGGATGTGCTGCTGAACCACACCCAACTGGACCCGAGGTGAGGGCCCTGACCAAACTATTCTATTTTCCCCACAGGAGGAGTGCACGTCCCATCCCATTGTATTTGGCCTTGGCTATGTGACTCCTCAGCCAGTAGGGTATGCGTGGACATGCAGCCTGACGATTCCGGACCACGGCCTCATGAAGCACCACGTGTTTCCTCTTACCATTCTTGCAGATCTGCCATGTTCTATGAAAACAACACGAGAGACACACTGAGCAGACCTCCTGAACCTGACCTGAACCACAGACCTCCGCACTAGAAAGAAGTGCTCTTAATAAGCCACTAGGACTCTGAGCAGCAGTCTTGCTGTAGAAACACGACTAATACACTGGCAGGCCATATCATCCGTGCACCCTGCCCTCTGATGCTTTCCTGTCCACTTGAACCAGCTCCTAACTAGGACCCACTTGGGATTTAGTGAGGTTGATGTCAGTTGTTGATGCCACAGCACCAACTACTGCAGGCTCTCTGAATGTTTAACTAATTGGGACAGCAGGGCCAACCTGAGTATCAACTGGCTGCCTAGTGGTACGTTATTAGATGCATAGAAACTTTCCTGATTGGGGAATAAACAAAACGCCTAGCACACCTTAAGTGCCTACTGCCTACTAGATAACAATTTTATCTCTAATTTTCTCCCTAACCTTGAATTTACAAATGAGGAAACTGGTGATCAGAGAAGTTATATCCATCACCTAAAATTGTAGAGCAAGGTGGAATCAGGTTCTTCTTAGGTCTGCCTAGACCCCAAAGCCCATGCTCTTTCCCGTGTGTACCTTAAATTATTCTAGGAAGCAAAGTCATCCTCAGAGTTTGTGGTCTTTCCCTTGTAAACCTTAAATTTCATGAAGGCCTGAACATATGACGGGAGGCAAAGACAAAAGATCAGGAAGACCAGGAGATGGAGGGGAGTCAAAGGTAACTTTGTAACTTCCAATTTTGGCCTTGTGATCACTCCCTCCACCCATTTCGGTAAAATGCATAGATTAGGCAGGGAACCAGGAGCCAGGATGTGGAGGGCTTGTATGTTAGGCCAAGTTTGCAATTTCTTCTGAAGGTGAGAAGGAACCTTGGCAGGGTTTGAAGTGAGAGGAAAGTCTGGGTGGGAAGATCCCCGGGTGTCTGGGAGAAGGTGTGATAATGCCCTGTGCAGAGCAGAGCGGGTGCTTTGGTGATTTGGAAGTCTGTGCAAGAGCAGCTGCTGGCCTGAGGCTGCCCCCACATCCAGGCTGGTGTTGGTGCTCAGGGGGCTACAGGAATTAAAGAGCTGGGTCTGAGAGCTCTGTCTCTGGGACTGCAAGAAAGGATCTGGGTGGTCACAAGCAGCTTGGATGCTGGGGTGATGAGAAAGCCAATGGCTGGTGGAGACCCAGTAGTCACTCCCCTGGTGATAAGTCCATGGCATTCCAAAATGTCCTTTGACATGTTCTTGCTCAAAAGCTGCTGTCCCCTATGGTATCAGTTGTCCTATTTTTTTTTTTCCTTTTTTGTCTTTTTTCGTGACCGGCAACAGATCGCAACCCTCAGTGTCGCGCCTGTACCAGACCGGGACCGGCAACGGGATCGCAACCCTCAGTGTTGCGCCCGCACCTCGCTCAGCCAGTGAGCGGCCGGTCTGTATGTGGGATGCGAACCCTCGGCGGGAGCGCCACCGCACTCCCAAGCGGCGCACTGAGCTGGCCCCAGTTGTCCTATTTTTAATGAGTGAATTTAAGGCTTCTTAACTGGGCCATGAAAAATCCTCATTCGTGTGATCACTGGTAATGATTGAGATGGAGCCTTAATAGCTGATTGTGTCTGTTATCTACACATCATCAGCTTAATGTTTTCTCAATTCATTTTGGAAGAGGGTTTTTGGCATTTTGCTTTTGAAATTTAGGTTCTTTTTATTATTTTTTTTTTAAATTAAGCTTGAAAGCAAAGAGAAGAGGAGGAAAGGCAAATAAAGATGCTTTCTTAAGAGACTGGGTTCTTGGAGGGTAAACTTGGGGTACTTGCCCAAAGTTACCCATATTTAAAACTAATGTTACCCCGGGTTCTGTGTGCAGCTTCAGGGCTTGGCAGGGGCTGTCCCCAGCGGTGGGTGCACTGTGAGTTCCAACACCCCCTTATCCTCGTCCTTGGAATGCTTTTCTCCACTGCCTGCCCCACCCCTACCGATTCTGTGCTTTGAAGCCTGAGGATTCCTGGCCAGTGATAAGGAAGAGTGGGTTGGAAATGCGGGGTAAACTAATCTAGGAATGGAGAGAAAAGGCCAGCAACTGACGTATGAGTGAAGGGAGGATCACGACGTCACTGGAGTCCCCTCCCTTCAGTGGGACCAGGGCCTTGCTGTCTATCCTTCTGAACTCGGTGTCTCCACAGAGCTCTGCCCTGCTTGGAAAGCCTCTTCTGGGTCCATGGAAACATCAGGTTGTAGGGACCGAACCCTCAGGCAGTTGGGCGCCCTAGAAGGCCCGCAGGATGAATGGGTGAGCAGTCAGCCACACAGATGCCAGGCCACCGGGGAAAATCATGAACATTGTTCTGAAGCTAACTTCGATTACATGTTAATGTTCTCTGCAACTAATTCCACGGTTAAGGAAGAAGGAGAAAATGGGGATGGCATGGTCTCATTTTCTACTCTGGAGTTCTGGTTATTTCCAAACTGTCTGCTACTAATGGCGGACAAGAAGAGCGAACCTTGAGAGGAAGATAGAGAAGAAAACTCGCACAAGCTTGGTGATGAAAGGGATGTTTCTGATACGTGTCATTTCCTTGCTCTTTTTCTTGTCCCCAAAAGCAAAGTTGTGGATGAGATAAAGTACTAAGATAATCTCAGGTTATCCAATTTAAACAGAGTTAAAAAGTCTTTGCATAGTTTGAAATAAAAATCTGATCTGTTTGTCCGAGTGTGGCTAATATGTATTTTTGGGGTATCCTTTGGGCGAGTACCGAGCAGGATTGCACCAAGTAAATACCAGTATGTGGTACGAACTCAAGTAATGGTACTTCCTTCTTCTACACGGTGGGCTTGGCGAGGGGCCAAATGCTCGGAAGAGAGTTTGTTCTCATTTTTAAAAAATGATCTGTACCCCTAGAGATGGCCCTTGCCCCAAATGGTGCACCGAGGAGCAAAGAGAATCTGTTCTTGCCTGTTTCTTCAGAGAGCCTGTTTCTCCCCACCCAGACCTCCAGGAACATCCAAGCTCCCAGACAGCTGTTGGATACAGCTTGGGAGTTTGTCACAGCTCTCCAGGATGTGTTTTCTTGCCTCTTTGTTATTTTGCCTACCTGTGGTCACCATAGCTTACTTCTGGAGACCATGGACACACTCCGATTCCAAATGCATCCTCTAGGCGGGCGTTGGTGGTATAGTGGTTAGCATAGCTGCCTTCCAAATGCATCCTCTTTGTCACTCTGACCATGTGTAGTGGCATTTCACAAGCTTGAGAGGGCAGGTGTGCCCTTGGGGTCCCTGAAGGCTGGTGGTACAATTAGCTCTTTTCTGTGCTTTTCTGCTCCTTACAGTAAAGTGTCTTAGAGTAATAGACAGGGCACCATCAATAATGCACAGATGCTCTGTAATTGGGGCTTCCTTTGATGTTAATTTAGCTAAGTTCAATGCCATTGTCAGTGATAGCAATTACGCTCAGCCTTTTCACCAAGGACATTTTAGTATAATTTTATTTTTCATGTGCATTTTAAAATATGGCAGTAAATTTTGAGCTACATTACCTGAATTAGAACTCATTATTTCTTTTCAACAGCAAAGTAATGCTCTCTGTCTAGGCTCCAATGCTGTATATATTTTTTTTTCCTTTTTTGAAGCGGGGAATTTTAAGTGTGGCAGTAAATTTTGAGCTACATTACCTGAATTAGAACTCATTATTTCTTTTCAACAGCAAACTAATGCTCTCTGTCTAGGCTCCAATGCTGTATATATATTTTTTTCCTTTTTTGAAGCGGGGAATTTTAAGTGGGGCTTCTACTTTATGAAGCTCTTAACTCATGAGTGAAATTTAGAAATGTGTCACCCCTTGTTTTTTTGTTTGGCATTTTGAATTGTCGCAGAGGCTATCCAGCTCGGTGACCCGTCCTGTGTTTTATTGGCCCATTTTTATTCATTCCTCCCTGCCGCCCAACCTTTACTTTTGTTCTTGACATGATTCAAGCAGTTACCTCCAGCTGTTCTTTTGGGAAGGTTTAAAATCTGAATTTATTGTGGCGATTGTACTCCATGAAAAACCTGTGATTCTTAATTTGTTTGTGGGCTGTTGTTGGATTTGCTAGGCCCATTCTCAGTTCCATGATTGCATGTAGGTTTGGATGAAAGACTGAACTTCTGCCTTCAACCACCGGTTTGTCCATTATGAAGACAGAGGATGTAATGCTTCCTTCCAAGTCTGTTGTGATAGGTTAAATGAGATAATATGTGCAATGTGCAAGGAGCTAACGCTGTCTCTGTGTGTAGAGCCAGCTAGTGTTCTCAGCTGTGCATTCTCAGAACAGCCCTGTCTTTGCAGCGTTGCTGTGTCATCAGTTTGCGTGGGTGGACACAGGACAGGTAATTTTGGTTTGGTGGTTGGAGTGTGTATTAGTTAGCTAGGGCTGCCATAACAAAATGCCATAGACTGGGTGGCTTAAGCAGCAGAAATTTATTTTTTCTCAGTGTTAGAGACTGGAAGTCCGAGGTGAGGGTGCCAGTGTGGTTAGGTTCAGGTACAGGCCCTCCTCCTGGCTTCTAGACGGCCACCTTCTGCCTGTGTCCTCCTCTCACGGTGGAGAGAGTGAGAGAGAGGGAGAGCAGGAGAAAGAGAGATCTTCCTCTTCTTATGAAGCCACCGTCCTATTGGATTAGGGGTGCATTTAACCTTAATTACCTCCCAAAGACCATCTTCAGATATGGTCACGTTGGGAGTTAGAGCTTCAACATATGAATATCAGGAGGACACAGTTTAGTCCACAGCAGGGGCATTGCTCCTCTATTCCTGGTGGCTTAACTGAATTTTCTGGGATTTATACTTAAATGCAATATTTCTAAGGCTTTTCCTAAGCGTCCACTTCTTGAGAATAAAACATCTAAAAGAAAGGAATATGAGAGGAGAAAGGAGGCCTCACATTCATCCTGGGGAGGCCTGGGCCCCTGGGTTTGGGGGTCTCCCCGGGTACTGCACAAGGCCTTTTGTTCTGTGGGGACAGTGGAGGGGTCAGCCCGGACCGGAGGAGGCACTGGAGGGGTCGGCTTGGTGGGACCACCGAGGAGGCTCTGTAGTCACTGATGCAAACAGGAGGACGGCGTGCAGGGAACTGGGGGCAGCTGTGGAGCAGAAAAGCCTCCGCACAGGCCCATCCTGGGAGAAGGGAGCCTGGTGCAAGCATGAGCTCGTATACTCTTTCCTCTGGGTGACCTCAGACTCAACTCACTTAATCCTCCTCCGACTCCCTTGGCGAATCTGGAAATCAAGGCTGATGTTTATTTAGATCCTGGAATTTGTCATTGGAATCAGCCTCTTTCTGCCCCAGAGTAAAATGGAGCCTGGGGAGTGAAATTTGGGGGCTTGTTATACATGCGCAAAGAATACAGTCTTATCGTTAGAAGGGCTTTGAAACCCAAGGCTGAGATGTTGGATCTCTGGCTAATTAGAAAACAACCAAGTGATATATTACCACATTTAAAAAGATCTGTTTAGTATAACATTAAAAAAGAGAAAGAGAGTGTCTACTTTCTGCACTCATTCTAATTTTTAGTCATGGGATGTTTTGGAAAAGATTAAATTACAAATGATTTTTTCTTCCTTGTGTTCCGAAAAGCCTCAACACCAGCGTGTGACTCTGCTTTAGATGACAGAGATCTAATCTGAACACTGGATTGTGTTTGCTTAGATAAAAGTGACCAGGGCAGGTAAAGCAGAGTGAAGAAGGAAAGTGCCTCCTTCTTTGCTCTCTTTCCTCTTCCTTTGCACATTATATGACTAAATATGCAACTTTGTTCACATAACTGCTACAAACAGTTCACTGTGTAGGCCAAACGCTCTCTAATGCAGTAAAATTAAGAAATAATATGCTTTGAAAGTGATTTATGAGTGTGGTTAAACTGCCAGATTTACAAAGAAATAGTTCAGATCTTGGGAAGCCTCAGGAGTCACGTCAAAAATGAATTTGACCATGATTTAAACTGCTACTTTTCTTACATGACATTTAATATGTGTACTTTGGAGGCCCATATGTCTTTAATAAAATAGCATTAAGTTTTAAATATGATATGAATGCAGCCAGTTTCTAAATTCATAACCTTTTCCACAACTCCAAAATGCTAACCAATAAGGGAGCCATACACGCAGTAAAACATAAACCTTAGAAAATAGCTTTTTATTAAAATGGTTAGACAGTTGGCAGCTGGGCTGCAGTGTAATAAATACTTACAGCATTGTGGGTTTATCAGGCGTTGTTTACCCTGCAAGCAACTGGGACCAGACAACTAATTATAGCCCCTGCGCAACAGCAGTTTGTGCTGAGTCTCCGAGTGTGTGGAACAGACAGAAGGGTTGTGTTGAGAGCCCTGGATGAGGGTCCAGAGATTTGGGTTCTAATCCCTTTGCACCACTTCCAGGAGTGTGACTTTGGGCAAGTCACTCCATTTCTCTAGCTTCTTATATCTGTGTCGTGGAGACAATAACACCTGCCAGGCAGGTTTGTATTAGTAAGAAACATCTGACAGTGCTCAGTAAAGAGAAGCAATTTCTTTTTTAAAAAATCTTTTAATAAAAAGGTAATTTAGGGTAGCTCTTCAGGTAGCAGTGATGTTCTGTTATGCCCTTAGAAAAGTTACACCACTTAGCCAGAGATCAGTGTAAGCGTCACGGGGAATGAACAGGAAGCTCCTTGCCTCACACACCTCTCAAAGGCATGAGCATGTCAAAATTGACAGGAGGACTTATTTGGTTCAGGGGGAACAGGAGTGTCCTTGTGGCCACTGTCATGTCGCTGTTCCTGGAGATGGAAGAGAGGAACACAACACCGCCTCTCCTTGCCTTTGGGTTTCCCATGGTAGCAAATGTGAACCATTCTTGTAAGCTGCACAGAATCACAGCAAAAGGTCCTTCAGTGCTGCTGCTGTGTGTTGTTGGGGGGTGGGGTGGGGTGGGGGTGTCCACAGCCCTCTCTGTGGAGCAGGCCCCAAGCAGGGCTTCCCAGCCTCCGTGTTTCTGCCTGCGCAAGTGCGACCTGCTTTTTCAACATCTCAGATGAAACAGCCAGTCTAGCTGTGGGCTGACTGGGTTCGTCCATGCAGCCAGTTATCACCAGCCTGCACAAACTTCCTCAGGAAGGAACTCCTGACTTTCCTAAAATGGGACTTGTAAGTTATGCCTGAGCCAGGCTTTTGAGTCTCAGGACTCAGACATACGTGTGGTAATCAAAGATTAAAAGGCCAAGGGACCATTGCGTTTTATTTTATTTTTATATGTTTTTTAAAACAATGTTATAATCCCATTAAGGGAAATTAACAAAGAAAATCATTCAACTATATTCCCTACATGCTAACTCTATGACTTCGCATTTCACTCTGTTCCCTCCCAAGTCTCATTCCATTCTACATGTATTTTATGTATTTAATGCTCTACTTTTTTACTTAATATTTTTGTTTACTTTGTATTAGTCAAGTTTATTCTTTTTATGGACTGTACAATAATTCATCCAATTGACCTAAGAACCATCACTAACCAGATCATTTTCCCACTGCTGCTGGATTTTAACCTTATGTATAAAATACTGCTCGTTGTATGTTGGGGGTGGGCAGGTGTTTGTTTGTGTGTATGTGTGTGTTTTCTTTAAATTAATTCCTTAGGGTAATTTTCCATGGCTGGGCTTGTTGGATCACAGGGTGTGGGCACATGAGCAGTT